TGTTAGCCATGGAGATGTGCTTTACCTATGCTATTGAACATTGGTCTCGACTTTTCCCTCTCAAATAGTACTGACCCTGAAAAAAACGAGTCTATCTAGAGAGAAGGTGCGGCTGAATGTATTAGCCAGATATTTTGCTGACATGGAGTACGAAAATGATATTATACTGGTGAGTCGTACAGTAAACGGGCGTCGTTAACTGAAACTACTGTGTGCAACGTAGACGTGACAGCTGGTTTCTCCTTAACCTTAACCTCCAGAAGCCAAAATTAATGAACAGCTCATCCGTCACATCTGACCTGCAGAGTGGAACACGGAGGAGCATCGGTGGAATAATTTGACTACTATGAAATCCCGTTTCTTCATCTCCAGCCAACGTATCAAACAAGTAGTGGAATCATGCATGTAAAATTTTTCTGCCTCTGCATAATTCAAGCTTTGCTGATATGACAGACATTCCCCTGTGGTCTGAAACATCAACTCACTTTGAGTCACCACCACTTAATTCTAGGTCTTTACAGACTATCCGTCGACGCTGCATCACATTAGTTTTTGATCAGAAAGTGACTTACTGGCAGCACACTAAGAAGTCTCAGAATGTTCCCTGTCAAATTTAATTCTGATATTTCTTTCGAGCTCTCGCCGTTTTCTGCATGTCGTTACTTCTCTTGTTCGTTTAGACTCGTTTTACTCCGCCCGATCGTTGTACAGAATTTGGTGTTAATTTATGCTCTGAAGGAAGATGCTTCTTTGTGCTTTCAACACCCGCATACGCTGTATAATAGGGCGATTTCGTTTAGACACACAGCCAAGCAGATATTTGCAGCAAGCCCTGATATGCACAATAGACGGAATCAGCTGTCGAAACATGCTTTCGCCAGAGGCGTCAATTGACGACCAAATGCTATGCGCTGGAAGCAAGACAGGTGGAAAAGGACCTTGCTCGGTACCTTTACGTATATGTATAAACGCCTACGGCGAAAGTGATTTTCAGGGTGACAGTGGCGGACCGTTGGTCTGTCCGGACGAAGAAGATCGATGGGTGGTGTACGGTGTGACTAGCTGGGGTGTTGGTTGTGCCCGGCAAGGGAAGCCAGGCGTATTCACTAGCGTTTACCATTTTTTACCTTGGCTGATGAATAACATGTAAAATATCAACCATCCCTCAATGAAAATTAGTCGATCTGAAAATGAATTAAGTAAATCATCATATGGATTTATGTCATCAATTAAACATAAATGTTTATGAAAAATCTGCCCTTCACTCGGTGCGGTTGCCGAAAGTCTAGGTTAAATTTGACGACCGAACCATCGTTCTATAAGCCACCATCATTGCTCCAAATGTATACGGTATGATGCATTGTTCCTCCCTAGTCATCTTTTCTTTACCATCTAGGATACATGAATGATATGAAGTTTTTTTAGCCTGAACCTGTTGATTCGAGCTTGACCAGCTTCTCCTTCTGTTAGCCTTTGTAAATCTTTTACTAGGCTTAATCATGTTTTGCATATATCATATCCAAGTCTATAAATGCTGTTATCTAAGCCACTGTAGCATATGCGAATACGTACCACGCGTTTGCTGATGTCGTTATAAGAAGCCAGTTTGGACCTTTGTATGTTCATGGTCTCGAATGTCGGAGTGGACTCGAGTGTTGGACAGAGCGGCGTAGCTGTGAACCGGAAATATGGCTTCGTCACTCAAACTGAGGAAGAGTATGCTAATTCGTAATCTATGAATTCGAGCTCAGTAATTTATGAGTGTCACTGTTACATGCATCGGGTGAGGTTTCGACAAAGAGACGCCCAGCAAAATCGGCCGATATTTGGAAGCCGATTGATGTACGTGTGCGTATGGCCAGAAAGGAGCTATGTTGGCATGGAATAGGACTGGCCGTTAGCACAATCCTGAAAAATACAAAATTTAGCCTTCAATGCACATTCAAAGTGTGCAATGGCTGCATGCTCGTAAAACAGAATAATTTCTGCGCAATAAAGTCAGAGAACAGTGCATAATTTACATAGTAATAATAATTCATGATTATTTAAAACAGCTTATAAAAATAGACAGTGAGTACACGTGACCTGTTTGTCACAAATCATTAGTAGTCGTGGGGTTAAACGCCGTTGTATTTTATAAATTTATCTTAAAGGCGATTTATCTGAGGCATGTCAATTTCTGATTAACACGAAATAGATGCTTTTGACGGGAAAATATTCTTTGACAGAGATGCCAAAGCTTGATTTTTAAAGACAGCATTAATTATTCAGCAGTATAATAATAAGCAGAAAAAACATAAAAACCAAATAAATAAAATGTGCCAGTAATGCTGTGTAATTGCTACCGGGTATTGAAACATCCGGTGGATGTTCCTAAGAAAATTTATCTGCGGTAAAACTTCGTCGTGGCTGACGAGTTCTACTAAACTGTATTGGCGGAGATGCAGCAAAAAGACAACTTGTGAGGTTTCTGTACAAACATAGGTACAATAGCAACAGACACAACGATCATTTTACCTGACAGCATTTTGCCATTTTTTGCGGAAGCTTACTACCATCTGGTGATGAAGTGAAAAATCTAAGTTTCACAACCGCATGCTGATGTACCGTGGCCTACCGAACCACTGGTTTTTTTGGCAGACGCGACGAACCTCGTATAACAGCAATTCTCCGGCATAATGCGGCCTTTTGCACAGAGAAATTCTCCTAGAATTACAACAAATCCATTGTATTTTGAGAAGTCCGTTGGAAAATAATCAAAATCCATAAGAGTACAAGCTTTATATCGACAATACGTTAACTCCAATGTTATGAGGTACTTCTGATAGTTCTGCTATAGAAGCTGTTCAATTCCGCACAATCATAGCATTTCAATTTCTGATACCGCATTTACTTGGCGCACAGCCTCCTTATTCGTAGTTTATTAAGGGGCCATTTCAGCATGTTCTGACTACATGGCATGGCATTTGATGCAGAACTTTCATCAACATACCTCATTTCTACTGAACAAAGACGAATTCGTACATCAGTGTATATGATTTGCACCATGCTTAATAGCAACAGTGGTTTTTAGATGTACACTGCCCTATACTGAACCTCAAATGTTGGCATAGAGTTGGGAACGTTCGACGCATTGTCTAACACGTTTGCCTCAGCAAACCGAAGGGATAAGCGAGATCGAACCTGACCGACTGCGTAATGAACCCACGGCGTCCGAATCCACGGATTAATGAAATGATTATAACCGAGGTGAACTGCAGTTACCAACTGTAGAGAATATTCTCTCTTTTGACCATATATATTAGTCATTACAGTATGCTTCAGAGTACGGAAAAGCTACTATAAAGTACTTTGTCAAGTGATCTGATTTTAATAATCAGCAGTAGCGTAAATGAAAGCCAGCTTTTTGGTGGATCACAATATTCATAATTAGCGGTTCACTTAGAAATCCTTGGAAATCTTGTAACACTCTAATCAACTACTGCGCGAAAACTTTCCAAACGCTCGTTCTACTGGGAAAAAGTTTTAAGCAGTTTCAGATCGAACCAGTCTGAGTGCCACCGCCGTTCAGCTCTACCTTTCCTTTCCTTCTGAGATGCCCCACGCGAGGAGAAGCATACTGCTGTCAAATCAGCGATTCAAGGTTCATTTAACCCATCTTTGATGCGGATACGTTATCAGTCACGTGTCAAAGTCGATTCTGACCTTTATTGTTCAGTACCCCCTGCATCAACCGCTGGTCAACTAGTTTGATCATCATGACCAACTAAATCAAGTGGTTCACTGAGTTGTAGGCATTGTTCAGGCCAAGGTGGTTACCTGCACTCATTATGTCCGTTTTTTCTTTCCTTCAGCTTCTTTGCAAATGCTTGTTACTCAGTGCATTCTGAGTGTTAACTCTCGTTAACTATTCCTGACGCTTCTACAGCCTTAATCCAATCGATTCTAAGAAGTGGAGCCGCTTGGTCTCGTACAAATACCTCAGTCCTGCTCTGAGCCCTAATTAAATCATAATTATGGAAATTAATCGTCGGGATTATTGGTTTGAATCGAAACCCGGTATGCTGTTCAGAGAAACGTGTCGTGCTGCCAATGAGCGAATGGATTTGAATTTCAGCAGACATGACACAACTGAACATTTTTAATTTAATCACAGATCAAGGAAAGCCAAAGAATGCGAAGATAATTGTGAAATCGCGTTGTTATGTATTTAAATGGCAGCTGTGCTCACTGCTATCGACTGATTGACGACAGTAAAAACTTAGGAGTTCCAGATAATGCAAGTGACTGGACTGCGACGATCGTTTGTCACTATTTTAATACCTAAGATTGAACGACCTTAATTTATGACAACTAGCAAAAGTTGTTGTAACCTGAAAATCAATTCTTCCATTGCAGAACTTGCTCCCTTTCTTGTCGACCATGAAGTAGAAGGAATTACGAATTAGCTTCGTTAACTTGCTTGTCAATGTCATTATGTGGGAAGAAAACAAGAAATTACATAGAGAAGGTAGTCTCGCTACACGCATTTTTAAGGGAGAAAAACGCCATCCTATTATCATCACCAGCGAAAAATGTTTTTTTTAAATCTGGGAACACCGTAGCGTGTACTGTACAGAGTAGTACTGATTTGTTCACTTTGAAAGGATGAAAGGTGAGTGACTGACGAGGGACTAAACTCATGACATGTCGACTTTCGAGCTGTATGGACCAAGTAATCCCCTCTCTAACCATGTCATTACTCGAGGCAACAGCGTCAACAAAGATCGACGCGTGCACGCCGTCTGATCTGACATTAAATATTCATTCCTGCCATGTGCTGGAGCAGCTGTTCCTCTTTCTCTTCAAGTGCCAGCAATGTGCAGACAGACATCGCTTCTACCCTCTCACAGCAAGCCTCGCTTCGTCACGCTGCGAATGAAAAATGACCATTTCCCTCTGAAGTAGAAAGTAGAAGATCATCGTAGAGAATTCAGCGAGCCCAGTTTGGAGTGTCGGTCCGTGTCTTGTCTCTGTTGAGCAATGAGTGGCGTCACGGACGAGGATCACCCACGCGAACACGCATCGGTCATCGCCACGCCGGAAATAGCAGCAGCAGTTCCGTCGGTGTCGGTAAACGACCTCAGTCCGGCTGAAGTGTTTCCGGGACATGAACCGGCGACCGTGCCGCTGCCCTTCTACAATCGTTACGGCCACCCAGACACGTTCGACGTATTTCACATGACCATGGTGGCCAGCAATGACTCTGATGATCGACTACGGTTCGGCTGCCTGTCGTGTAAACACATCGACTGGGAAAAATGCGAGGTCAAACGACTTCGCGAACTGGAGGAGGTATGTTTGTCTCACTGTAATAAAACGACCTTGTTGTTTCCGTTATCTGAAAGGGTCTGAAAAAGCCTCTTCGGATTCACGTGAAGCAACGTTTATCACTGTCATAAAGGTGATGGTCCTCATCGCAAGCTATTCTACCTCAGTGAGGTGTTTCGAAGTTTTACACTGTTCTGCAACGCGCATGAAGAAGCAGAGTGGAGGGTTCATAGTAAAAAAAGGTTTTTTTTCCGAAATTTCTTCTAGAAAACGTACCGTTTACTAGCAGGGTCTTAGTATCATCATGCGTAATCTACAGGGAACCGTCGCTTTAATCAGAATGTCATCAGGCCATCGCCCCGACCCGAGAGGCAGGGGCCGAAAACCTGGCGCAGTAGTTTCAGTTCGAATTTCTTGTGGCTGATTATCCAT